CTGGCTTCTGCAGATTGTCACCTGCCTGTAAAATGCAAAATCTACTGTCATGTGGCCGTTCGTCCAAACTCACGGTAATTAGAGCTTGCAAAAAGCACCAGTAGGACTGGTTCAGACTTGTGCCAATTAGAGTTTGGAAACCTACTAAAGCTATTGGTCCAGATTTTTGGAATCTCACTCATCTAGCCCCACTCCCTCTATGTGACCCCAGGTCAGAAGGCAGGAGCTTGAGGTCTTGGCTTGGTATATAGCACTGCATGGAGCAGGCCTCTGTAGCAGGCATCCGTACAGTGCCCAGGTGACAGGTTGGCGCTCCTTGGCTTGCCTGGGCGCTGGTTCGCCATGCCTCAGGCCTGCAATGGCTCTGTGACGGGCTCCAGGCATCCAGATGCTCCAACGCACTCTGGCCACTGCTACCCGGCTCCATAGCTCTGCTGCTACTTCTCAGCAGGGACAAGTAGATCAGCTGTGTGACTTGGCAGTGGGAGAGCCCTCCCTGTTACTGCCTTCAAAATTTTGTCTTTGCCAGAAGGTCATATACTTGGAATCATGAACATAGCCTTTTCAAATTGGCTTCCTTCATCATATCCATTCAAGTCTCCTCCTTGTCTTTCCTTGGAGCTGATTTCTTTTTTGGTGCTGAATAATAAATATTCCATTGTCGGAATGCACCACCCTTTATTCTTCTCTAAGTTCTCTGGGTCAAAGTTCTGGCAATTCATGGGGTTGTTCTAAGTATCTGTGCAGGTTTTTCTGTGGGAGCAGGTTCTCAACTCCTTTGGGAATGTGCTGAGGAGTGCATTTGATGATCAGATGATCAGAGAAGGTTTCTTTTTGAAAGAAGTTGCCCAGCGGCCTTCCCAAGCGGCTGAGTCATTTTGCATTCCCACCAGCAATGAACGACAGTTCCTGCAGCTCTCTATCCATGTTGCTATTTGGTGTTGCCCGTGTTGGGTTTTGGTCATTGTGATAGGTACGTAGGAGCTATCTTGTTATAATTTGCAATTCCACAATGACATGATGCAGAACATGTTTCTATCGGCTTATTTTCTATCTGACCTTCCTTGGGGATGTCACTCTTCTTTGGTGACATATTTGCATGGCTCAGTCTGCTGCAGAAATCCCTGTCTGAAGACCCCACCCGCCTTCCTCATCAGCTAGGAGAAAATGGAAGTGGGGCAGACCTAAGCTGGGACTCATCAACCAACAGCATTTGTACATTTCCAAATCCGAATTAGCATAATTTTGGAGCAACCGTGGAGTCCTTTCAAGTGCTCTCTGTGCAGCAATGCAGCTCCACAGCCTCCACCAAATACATGCAATTCAATTGTTTCAATCTCTCATTTCCCCTAAGCAGGGAGAAAATGGAAGGCAAATCTGGACAGGGCTAACAGGATTATTAGTCTTCCAAACCCAAATCGGAGTTGGAACCAACAGCTATGATAAAAGTGGTACATAAAACCCCAGAGTAGCACTCTCAATGGGAGAAAATCAGCTCTGCAGCTCCCCACTCGCACTTGAGGTTCAAATGTTCCTTATTTATTTCTTTATTTGGTACCAGGGATTGAACTCAGGGCACTCGACCACTGAGCCACATCCCAGCCCTATTTTGTGTTTTATTTAGAGACAGGGTCTCGCTGAGTTGCTTAGGGCCTCGCTATTGCTGAGGCTGGCTTTGAACTCTCGATCCTCCTGCCTCAGCCTCCCGAGTTGCTGGGATGACAGGCATTCACCACCATGCTGGACTTGTTTTTTAATAAATCTACTACACTCACTCATTTTTACCCAAGAATTTCATTCTTCAAATTCAGAACCAGGAATGAATGAATGAAGAACTGCCCAAGTTCTCAGCTTCAGAGTCTTGGAACCTTATGCACATCCCACTGATCAGAATTCAGGGACTCCTCAGCTGCCAACAGTCTCTCCAAACTTTGGTTTCAAGGTCACCTTTGACATTTTGTTCATTCAGCATTGAGGCTTATGGGGGGGGGCTACTAAAAGTTGATTTCCCGGCTTGTAGTGACACGTGGAGTCTGTGTGAAGTTGCAGGCCTCTTCCTGCTCAAGTGTTGCAGCTGTTAACATCTGGCCACACCCTCCAGCACTGCAGGTCTCATGGGCCACACCACCCCCTGTTGCAGCTCTAGGCCATGGTCCACATTCTTCAGCCTTGCACCAGCAAATGGCAGGCCACGCCCCCCAATGTTGTAGCTCACCCAACAATTTTCTCCTGAAACCGGAGTTTTGGAATAAAGCTAAATTCTCCCCTGCACCAGGCAAGTAAGAGCCCGCATAAAGCTATAGGGGTCTCCTAACTGAAAACTAACTACTACAGCTCTCAGGAGTAGCTCCCTCCAACAACCTAACGCTGAGTTCTTCTTTCAGGGTTCTTCCTGAATTGAAAGAATAAAGCCTACACAAAGAATGAAGAGTTAAGTCCAGCATGGTGGCTCTTGCTTGTAATCCCAGCAGCTCGGGAGGCTGAGGCAGGAGGATTGCAAGTTCAAAGCCAACCTCAGCAACAGCGAGGCACTAAGCAACTCAGCGAGACCCTGTCTCTAATAAAATACAAGATAGGGCTGGGGATGGGGTTCTGTGGTTTTAGGGGTTTATGTAGACCAGAAACAGAGAGAATGTCCTAGAAGCACAGGTGGCTGAGACCCTTACCTTTCCTACACACATCAATCTCCTTCCAATAAGTCGCTCTTTTTTCCTGGAAGCATATCGCTTTGCATTTCTACCACTTGAAAATAAAATAGGCCAATATAGCTGAGATGATGATCCCCAGCAAGGCCACTACTGGGGCTCTGTTCCCCTCCTGCTGACTGGCAGGGTCCTCAGTCCATCGGCTCTGATTCACATGGAGGACACTGGTCTTTAGGTTATGAATAAGGCCATCTGTGTTCCTGTCCCCATCTACCCTGCTGGGCCTCCTGGGACATGTACACGGCCTCCTTGTCTCAGGTGAAGGTCAGGTCAGTGGCAGGAAGCTGTGGTTTATGGGTATCAGCAGGAACAAGGGGAGGGGCTTGAACCACATTAGGTTCCCCTCTGAGGTGCTGGGGGGAGGCTGACGAGTCTTCTCAATGCCAACAGAAAGAGAGTGCTCTTGATCCATTTCTTTTCTCAAAAAAAAAAAAGTTATTTAATATCTTTTTAGTTGTAGATGGACACAATCTCTTTATTTATTTTTTTGTGGTGCTGAGGATGAGACCCAGTGCCTCACACATGCAAGGCAAGGACTCTACCACTGAGCTATGGCCCCAGCCCATGTCGAAAATTTTGAATGAGCCGGGTGTGATGGTGCACACCTGTCATCCCAGCGACTCAAGAGACTGAGGCAGGAAGATCTCCAGTTCAAAACCAGCCTAGGCAATTTAGCAAAGTCCTAAGCAGCTCAGTGAGACCTTGTCTCTAAATAAAATACAAAATAGGGCTGGGGATGGGGCTCCGTGGTTGAGTGCC